GCTTTTTTTTATTGACTTTTCAAAGCTACCGTTTTTTTGTTAACATTTTAAAGCTTTTTTTTTTCAAAGCCTTTTTTGACTTTTCAAAGTGGTTTTTTTTTTCAAGCTTTTGTTTTTTACTTTTCAAAGTTTTTATTCAAATTGCCTTTCTCTTTTTTTTTTCCAAGCCCCTTTTTTTTACTTTTCAAAGATTCTCTCTCTTTCTTTTTTTCTTTCTTTTTCTTCTCACTTCTTCTCTTTCTTCTTTATTTCTTTTCTCTTCTCTCTTTCTTCTTCCTACGTTAAAGCCAAACACCTTTTTTCTTTTGTCAACTTTTTTTTTCTCCTTCTCTTATTTTTTTCTTTTCCTCTCTTGTTTCATTTTTTTTCTTCCTACCTCTCTATTTCGATACTCCTAGTTGAAAGTTGTTGCAACTTTTCTTTTTTGGTGTACTAAGTTACTCTAATGAGGATTGTGGTATTGTGATATTTTTGTATGAGTCTTAATTTTATGATTTTTTATGAATTTCAAAGAAGAATAAAAATAATTTTTTTTGCTCTTGGATTTGGGTTTCAATTGTAAGGGTTGTGAAAGGATTGGAATTTTGTGAATTTTTGGTGATGGCCAAATGGGTGTATGTAGAGGTGTGGGATTTGCAGTTGGTTAGCTAGGTTTCGACTGAGGGCTTTTGTGCAGTAGTGCTAACACTTAGGTTGGCTTCAGGCATTCATGGCTCTGTGAGTTTGATGTAGGGTTTTTATTATAGGAGATTGGTGTTGGCAATGCGTTGGTTGGAGGCATTTTTAAAAGCTTTAGGGGGCAGATGTTAGGTAGGTAAGAGTGGGTTTTGGCAGGGTACCAACGATGCTGTAGTGGAAGCCTTGGGTCAAAGGGGATAGGCCAAATAGTGCTTGAAGATGGCTATTTAAGTTGTTGTGAATTTAGGTTCTTGGAGAAGCTAGATGTTGGGTGTGTGAAAGGCCTTAAGATTCTAGTAAGGGTGAAGATGTGTCTTTCTTGCTAATGTCTTTGGTTAAATTCTTGGAGGTAGCTTTTAGTAGTATAGTCAAAATGGGGATATTGGGTTTTTTTTCCTCTTATATTTGTAATTGAATTTTGGTTTGAAAATGGTGATTAAGGTTTTTGGTTTGTTATGGCAACAATGGCTGCTGTGTTTCTTAATTGATGGATTTCGCTCATTCCTTGCAATGATGTTGTAGGTAAAATTGGTGGGGTAAGCTGAAAATAGGGTTAACAATTTTGTAGGGGGAGAGAAAATGAAATTTAGGGAGGAGGATGCTATCCTAGCAGCCAACCCACTTATCCTTTTTTGTTTTTGGTATTTGATTTTTAATTATTATTTTAATTAATTAAGACAATAAATTAATCATGAAAATGAATAATTTGGGATCGAAGTTTAAATTTTGGCTTTATGGGCTATCAATGCCCTAATGACCTAAATCAGGTTTCAAGACAATCGAACTCATAATTAAACTTTAAACCTTTTAATTGGGCCTTCTAATCTAAATTCAATATTGACTCGATAACTAAATTGGACCTAAGCTCGCACAAAATAATCATAAATCGGATAACCTAAATGGGTTAAATCAAATCAAACGTAAAAGTCGAACAAACTCAAATTGATTCAAACAAAATTAGTTGTTTACAAATAATTGTTATTTTTTATATTTATTGTTTTTTAAATATTTTATATATTTTATATTTGTACTAACTAAAGAATTTATTTAATTTATAAGTTTTGATTATCATATATACGAAAAAGTTACAGAGACAATATGACCTTACAATTAGAGATTATTGTGGACTGTTGATTGAGCTAGTAAAATCTTAGACAAGTTTTAGTTCAGGTTTTAATTATGATTTTGAGTTTTTTGTAGATAGAACTATTTTGTAATAGTTATATTTCGGAAGTAATTTTTTTAATTTATATTTAGAGTTTATTGTTGACCGTTAATATAGATAGTAAAATCTTGGATGGATTCTAGTTTGTGTTTTAGTATTATTAAACTTATTCTTTAAGAGGTTAAATGTTGGACATCTGTTCAATATTTAAAATTATTATTTTTCCATTTAATTATAATGAAAATTACAATAATTCAAGAAAATAGCAACAATTACACTAAATAAGTAGCAGCAAAAAGAACTTAGAATCAACCCAACAAAACCCAATTAATCAACATCATCAACATTAGCAAAAGCAAAGTTTCACCTAAATAAAGCAAAAAATAGGAAATAGATAAATTGCATGCAACATTTTATAAATTACCATTATGAGGCCCTTTCATCGCTTAAACATTAATGTTGACTCAGCATGAAATTGAAGTGCAGCATAAAATTGCTTTTTAGAACTAAGCTATCATAATAAACAAACACTTAGAAAACATTACACAAAAAAAAGACATAATTTCATCAACATGTATACAATAAAAAATTGATAGCAGTAAAAGTCAATTGCAACGCGCTTAATTGACGTTTGTGTTGGACTCATAACCCACGCATATTTTCAAACTCGATTTGTGCTGATTTAAAACAGTCTTAGATTCGTATATTGGTTTAACCCAATTATAATTAAGGAATCTACAATTTTTATATTTTTGTTTTGCCTATTTAGTTTTTTAATTTTTTGTGCAAGAATTAAAATTATGAAATTGTTTTAAAAATAAAGATAAATAAATTTTTAAGAAAATAAATTTATTATTGGCTAAAAAATAAAATAAAATAAAATAATTGATTAAATAATTTTTTAAATAATACTAAAACTATAAAAATAAAATTATTAATTCAATATACATTAAATCACATAATAAACGTAAACATTTAAAAACTAATAAAATATATATCAAATTATCAACGACACTTGTAAATACGTTTATATTATATAAATTATATTATATAGTTAAAGAACAAATTTTTTAATATATCTAATTTTTATAATTAATAAATATAAAATTATATTTATATTAGATATATTAAGATATGCAAAACTAATTACTTTCAAAAATAAAATCTATTTAAATAAAAATTTGAACTCTTAAAACAACATATAAATAAAAAATTAAAAAAGTCGTTTAAATATCTTTGATTCATTATTACTATTATTATTTATAATAATATTTAAATAAATTATTATTTTTTGTTATTATTCAAATAAAAATATAAATATTTGAAAAAAAAAAACATACCCACACGAAGCGGGGTTAACATTCTAGTGGGAATTTAAAGGAAGGTGAAAATGTAATAAAGCATGCCAAGGTAATCTACTTTGGTGACAAGTGTCAGTTTTTGGTCAAAAGAAGTCAAAATTAACCTTTAAAATCAAGTTCTTAATTCAGTCCACCTCATCCAATTAATTTTAATCATTGAAACTTAATTTGGACCACAAATCTTGATGTCACTAACTCATCCATATTGACATACATTATTAATATAAATTTAATAATTTAAAATATAATATAATGATATAATATAAATAAAATATAAATATATGATATAAAAAATATATAATTTAAAATTTTAATAATTATTATATTTAAATTTAATAAAATTAAAAAATAAATTATATATTTTTATATTAGTATAAATTATATTTTATAATTTTTATATAAAGTATGATGTAATTATATAAATTTAAATATTTTATATAATATAAAAACATGAATCGTCATATTTAAATACACATAAATAAATAAAATTGGATGGCTTTGATGTGCTAAAAACAATCGGGCTATTTTGGGCTTTATGTGAGTAAATATATAACGTAATAAGGTCTGTTTCATCTTATTGAACTTTTAGAAGAAGCGTTCATCAAGTATAGCTGTTTTAAAAGCACTACGAAAAGAAGCTAAAATAGTGTTAATTGAAATGCTATAAAATGTTAAAATTTATTTGATAGTATTTTTTATTTTTTTAGTAAATAAAAAATAAAATAATTAATTTTATTAAATTAAATCATAAATAAACAATTAAATAAATATATATTTTTGTTCATATAATAAAAAAATTGAACAAAATATAAAACAGTATAAAATAATATAATTCCTTTTAAAAATTAAAATTGCAAAGGAAGGTATGTCCGAAGGATCCATACATAATGGATAGAACCCGACCCAAAAATTGTTAAATCACGTTCAATCATTAACGGGATTAAATTTTTACCGTTAATCTATATAATGGGGATTTTGACCAATGTAGCATATCTTGAATAGATTGATATTACTCCTTTCGTCTTTTTCTTTTTGTTTATTTTTTTTTAAATATATCAAAATTATATATATATCTTTTAACATTTAAATTTTTTTATTTTTTAATAATAAAAATTATGAAATTTTAAATTTTAATATTAAATATATTAAAATCAAATTTTTTTTTTAAATTCTTTAAAAATCTATATGTGACAAACATTTTAAAACAAAAAAATATTTTTTAAAAAATCTAAAATTAAAATAATAACATGAATTTTTTTTTATCATTTAAAATTTTGTTTTTACTGCATGAAAATTTTTTGGATAGTCGAAAAACTTCCGCATATTTAGTGGGAAACAATTCCACTTTTAATAAAAAAAAAAAAACAAAAATCAATGGTTGAAGAGAAAATCAAAGCATGAATTTCAAGTTTTCGAAAATCAATAATAGACATGTAGATGGAAAGTTTGAACAGAAGCAAAATTAGGGATAATTTTCCTAATTTTGTTTTTAGAAGTTTAGTAAAAAGTTTTCAGATTTTTGAAGGTAAAAAAAATATGATTAGGTATGAAATTTATTTGCACCAAACCTCAAAAACAGACCAATGGATAATAAACAAGGTGAAAAAAACTTCAATGAGATATCCATCAATAATTGTAAATAAAAACAAAATCAAATCAATATTTTTTAAAACAAAAATCTTGTTTCAGTAGTCGAAACAACTGGGCCTACCATGCACCGCATTGGCCTATTATCGGCGTTGAAAAGTGGAGAGAAAACAAAAGTCAAATCATTTCACAGATTACAGGCATGATTTGTGCAATTTGAGTTATTTATTGTATTATTGTCGAAAAGACATGGGCACAGACGCCTCATGCTTTGACACCACTAGTTTCTTATCACCACTGGCTTCTATCCTTTCCACAGTCAGACTTGTCAAAGATTTTACCTTCTTACTGTGTCTCATAAACATTGGAATTGGGTTACTTGTATTTTGTATGCACTTTTATCAGTCAAGACTCTCAAGAGACATGGAAGTTTCCCTTGTAATTAGACCTTTGCTTTCTTTTCTTGTTGTTGGGGTATTGATGGTATGGGGATTGAGAATTTTAAACTGGGTATGGCTGAAGCCAAAGAGACTGGAAAGGTGCTTGAGGCAACAGGGTCTTACAGGAAATCCTTACAGGTTTTTGTCCGGAGACGTTAAAGAGAGCTTTGCCATGAACAAACAAGCAACAGCCAAACCTATGCCCCTTAGTGATGATATTGTTCAATATGTTGTTCCTTTCGTTCATCAAACTATCAAGCATTATGGTTAGTCAAAATTTTTGGTTTACATTGAACAACCCCGATGATATCATATTGCTTTTTTTTTTCTTTTGTTCCTAATGATTATAATTTCTTGGGGAAAATGCAGGCAAGAATTCATTTATGTGGATTGGTCCGAGGCCAAGAGTGACAATTTTGGAGCCTGAAGAGATAAGAGAGATATTAACCAAAATCAATGACTTTCAGAAGCCACATAACAACCCACTGGTCAACTTGCTCGTTAGTGGGCTTGCAGACCTTGAGGGAGACAGGTGGGCTAAGCATAGAAAGATTATTAACCCTGCATTTCATCAAGATAAGTTGAAGGTATATGCTTTAATTATTTTCACTTTTCATTTCTTTATCAAAATGCTTGCCTTAATTACCTCTGCATTTTGTTATTATCATCATTTTTTTAGTATGTAAGAATTCTGAATTATAACAAAAAGGTAAGTTTTCCAAATCTCAAGATTTAAATTCGAAACCTTCATAATAGAATTTCAAGTTCTAACCATTAAGATGTTACCTTGAAGACTTGTAGGTGTTAATCTTTTTTTTTTTACAAAAAAAGATCGCAGTGTAGGAATATGAAAATGGGTTTCAAGATTTGAATTTTAGAGCTACTAAATGTTATCTCGACTACATGAATCAACTGAATTAAATTTTGAGTTAGTTTCATTGAGTTTTATTCTGACCTGATGCAATAAAATTTACTTGACCCTCCTCTTACAGTTCGCATGTAGGAGCTTGTAAAGAAAAGATGCTAGAAGATTTTTTTCATCTATTATATATATATATATATATATATAAATCCATTTGTTCAATTGTATATATATTTTGTTCCTGATTGAAAATGATTGCAGAACATGTTGCCAGCATTTTATCAAAGTTGTGTTGATATGATCACCAAATGGGAGAAGATGGTGCTTGTAAAGGGAACTAGTGAGTTAGATGTGTGGCCTTATCTAGTAAATTTAACAAGAGATGCGATTTCTCGAGCAGCATTTGGAAGCAGCTACGAAGAAGGAAGACGAATTTTCCATCTACTAGAGGACCAAACCAATCTTACAATCAAAGTGATACAGTCTGTTTACATTCCAGGATGGAGGTAAAAGTTACTATTCAAATTCAAGAAAAGTTATGCAATATATTTTCTTCATTTTTTTTTTTGTTTCCCCCTAATTTTTTTTACTCAGAAACAACTAAAAATTTAAACTGAATTTAAAATTTAACTCAATTAGTTCATGCAATCATTCGTAAGATGTGACATAAAAAAAATTTAAGATTCAAATCTTAGCACAACTTACAATCAACTTATCTATTCCAAAGCTACAGGCTTCTTTATAGGGAAAAAAAAAAACCCAAATAATCTAAGCGGGTTTCAATGAATTATTGTTATATATTAGCATTCTCTTTTTATTTTTCTGAAAGAGCAATTAGAATCTGAGATATCTTCTTGCAGGAGTGGTGTTTCTTGGATTAGCCTCACTTACAAGTCATTGCCATTTAATTGAATTTGATAAAAGACATTTGTTATGGAATTATTAAGGAAACTTTGATATAAGGCCCCCAATGATTTTCCAAAAAATTGTGAGGTGCATTTAAAATATGTTAAAAGTAAATCAAGAATAGTTGTGAAATCTTTGATTTAAGTTTAATTTGGGGCTATTTATATGTGTGCTAAAAGCTAAATTTTATATGTCTATCTGAAGGTTTTTACCAACTAAGACAAACAGGAAGATGAAGGTGATTGACAAAGATATAAAAGACTCACTTAGGGAAATGATAAAGAAAAGAGAGATGGCAATTAAAGCTGGTGAAGTCAGTAATGATGACTTATTAGGCATACTTGTAGAATCCAACATTAGAGAAATTCAAGCACATGGAGATCACAAGAACATGGGAATGAGCATTGAAGATGTGATTGAGGAATGCAAGCTGTTCTACTTTGCCGGCCAAGAGACCACCTCAGTTTTGCTGGTTTGGACAATGATTTTGTTGGCAAGGTATCCAAATTGGCAGACTAAGGCAAGAGAAGAGGTTTTGCAAGTTTTTGGTGACAGTAAACCTGATTCTGATGGCTTGAATCGTCTGAAAGTTGTAAGTCTGATCCTTTGCATTATCATATGAACCCTGTCCTCCATTCTGTCTTTATTGCTCCATATTTCATTTTGTATCTGGGATGAATTTATTTTTTTCATCTGCGAGTATAATTGGCCTCATTGTTGGACAGGGAGAACCGGACCAATTAGAAGCAAGCTTATCTAATTTAGTTCAAGTTGTCAATTTTTTTTAAGTAATTGAATGCTACAGGTAACAATGATCTTGTACGAGGTTCTTAGGCTGTACCCTGCTGTCGTTGCGCTAGGACGATCCATTCCAAAAGAAATAAAACTGGGGAAATTGTTGTTACCAGCTGGATCAGAAATTTCAATTCCAATCGTCCTGATTCACCATGATCAACAACTATGGGGTGATGATGCACATGAATTCAATCCTGACAGGTTCTCGGAAGGGGTTTCGAAAGCAACAAAGAGTCAAGTCACATTTTTCCCATTCGGATGGGGTCCTAGAATCTGCATTGGACAGAACTTTGCTATGATGGAAGCAAAAATGGCGATTGCTATGATTGTCAGACATTTCTGGTTCGAGCTTTCCCCTTCCTATGCTCACTCTCCTTCCGCTACTATTACTCTTCGCCCACAACATGGTGCTCACATAATTTTACATAAACTCTAGGTGTTGAAATCATCAAATTATGTGTCAAATTGTATTGTTCTGAACAGAAATCCATAGTCATGATCATCATGTAAACGTTAGTTAGCGAAAATCTAGCATTTCTCTCCATCAATAAAGCCAGACTTGGTTGGATAGCAATTGATAATGGTAAATGTACCTGACTTTTACTCTTTTGCTGGCCAAAATGTATGGGACTTGGTTTAATGGTACTTTTTTGTTTAGACGGTTTAATCACACTTGATTCAATGATAAATATAAGTATTTTAATATTGTTTGAATAACAAGATTCCTAATTTCATTTTTAGCACTCATAAATTGAATGAATTTTTTTTACTTCACAATAAAATTAAAAGTTATATCACATCAATTTTGGTTGTAAAATGTAAAAAATCTAATACTCAAAAATATTATAAAACATTATTTAATTACATTATTATTGTCCAATATGAACAAGCCATGGGTCCATGCCACTTCAATGTCCAATCCACCAAGACCAAGAGCCTGGCTCAACCCCAGCTTTGTCTTGCACTGCTCAGCTAGAGATATATATATATATATATATATATATATATATATATATCTATCAACTTTCTTAATTTTCCGGCAGTGTTTATAACAAATTTAATCCATTTTAAATACCCTGAATTTTATTTTGTTTTTATTTGAATCCCACTTAAAAAATCCAAAGAATTCATCTGCAAATCTCGAAGGATTTGCTGTAAATAATTATAAATAAAAAAGTTCCAAACCCAAAAAACGAGGAAAATCACAAATTTCTTAAATCTTTCAATTCAGATCATACACGAGAAAAGGAAAAATATTTTCAGAAAAGACAAATTCCTCAACTATCAAAATGTTAACCATAATAAAAATAAATAAAAGTAGAAATTTAGGGCAGTTTCCCTGAATTTAAACATGAGAGAATAAAAAAAACATGCAAAACCCTTGAGGCTGCCCCATAAAACTAACTCTAGGCCGGGTGAAATTGAACTCTCACATTTTTTTTATTAAGCAAGAATTCATTTGGAACGGCCTTTCAAAAAAAATTTTAAAAAAAAGAGATTTTTAATAAAAAATTTGCAGAATGTATAAATACCTTTCTATGAAATTTGCAAGAACAGAAAAATTGCTTGCAGAAATAGAAAGGAATTACTTCTGAAGTTTGCTTTACGCCCGCAACGGAACAAGAGTGGCACTGCCAAAACTAAGACTTCGCTCTGTTCTCTCAAAGGCAATTTGAAAAACTCCAAACCTAACCTTCTTTGTTATTTATAGGAAGATTATTATGCACGATTTCTCCATTTTGCCCTTCAAAAACCCTAGACGCTTGTTTTTTTTTTTCTTTTGATGCTGACAATAAATAATAAATAAATAGATTCGTTTATATTAAATTTGAATAATTATAAATAAATAATTAATTGATTTAAATAAAAAATTTATTATTTTTAATGAATTTGAATATGAATAATAATTTTAAATATTTAATATCTGAATATATATATTTAAATTTTAATGAATAAAAATAAATATTTTAATTCGTTATCTTTTTACATATATAAAATATAAAAACTTTTATACTTGTATAAGATTTTAGATCTTAAAAAATATTTTTTATTTATTATTAATTAAGAGTAATTTTAAATTTTAAATTAAATTTTGTTTATTTTATATTTTGATAAAAAATTTAAATAACTAATATTTAAACAAATATTACTTATTTAAATGAATTTGAATGTAGATAATGATATTAAATTTAATGGACATTTAAATAAATTCAGATATTATAAATATTAAATTGATTCAAATGTGAATATCTCAAAAATAACGAATATTCACTCTGTTGTTATTTTTATTATAAGTGACAGATTTGGTGTAGATAATAATAATATCATCTGAATATCTAATATTTAAATCTATTTAAGTTTTAATTAATAGCAATAAATATTCGAATCCATTACTCATTTATATATATAAAATATAAAAAATTTTATACTTGTAGAAGTTTCGAATCTTAAAAGATAACATTTATTTATTATTAATTAAAAGTGAATTTAAATTTAAATTTAATTTTTATTTATTTTATATTTTGAGAAAAAAATTTAAATAAATAAATATTTTAACGAATTTAAATTTTAAACAAATAATACTTATTTAAACAAATTTGAATTTGAATAATAATATTAAAATTAAACGAATTCAAATACTATAAATATTAAATGAATTCAAATATTGATATTTATAAAAAAAATAGATATCCGTTTTATTATCATTCTTAATTTCGTAGAGTCGTAAACCTTGTCTTCTATGTTATTTAAAATAAATGAATTTTTTTAAAATTTTTAATTTTTTAATTGAAATAAAAAAAAATTACCTATTCTATGTACTGGTTATGATTTTTTTTTTTTTTAAATCACAGGTATATTCTTTTTTTTTTTTTATTTAACTTTAAAATTCAACAATCTAGATCCAATGATTTCATGATCATCTTGAAATGATTTGAGTCTAAAATGACCAAAGCTAAAACAATCCAAATTTTCTTTTCAAACCCGAATTTTCTTTTCTGTCATGACTTCATCTTAAAATGAATTGAATTTAAAATGTCATAACCCAATTATAATTTCATCTTAAAATAATTTGAATCTAAAATGATTTGTCAAAACAATCTGAAATTTTTTTCCAACTTGATCCAAACTCGACCTGATTGCAATGGATATGGATCTATTTTCGGATATCCGAAATTATAACACCAACCCAAGATTCAAATTCAGAACTTCCTATTAACATCAAATTCTAAGGAGTTAATGCCCCTTCGATAGAAGTCATAGACTATGTAAAATATCAAACAGATGGTATTTTGTGATTTCAGTTTAAGAAAAAAGCTCATGCAAAAGTCAGGTAACATGGAATGTTGATCTTTTTATGCTTGTTTCGGCCAACCTTGACATCCATTAAAATGCCATATCAAATCAGAAATTAATAATACATTCAGAATCCATCAAACTTGGACCAATACAATGGCAGCTAGAAGAAGCATGCTTTTACTTAAAAGGGGGTATGCATTTCTCAACAAGCTAACTAGGCATCGATGGTATGTAGATTCACAAAAGAAAACCACAGTGACATCTTCGTTCAATGGATATATGCATGTATTGGGTGAGAATGCATTTGGAAAGATACATTAACCTAAGGTGTTAATAAGAAAATAGAAAAACAGGTCCCATGAAGAAATCAGATTAACAGGATTGAACTCCAGATTCCTAAGAGGGCCAGGACCTATTTGAAACCTTGGAACTGGAAGAACATGAGACTATAACAGGTCAGGCAGCAACTTCAACTTGGCGTTGGCAGGCAGCAAACAAGCGATTGTCAGCAAATTACAGTTGCATGTAATCCAACAATTCACAAGTCAAAACACATACAAGGGGAGAGTATAAGGTCCAACCAACAGAAGAAGCAATATCACTGTCAAACAAAGGAAAGGAAAGGAAAATTTCATAACCAAAGTGTTAAGTTCACAAAATATTGATCCCGAAAAGAATTAAAAGCAAAAGCAATGGCTAACATACCGTTCAGCAACTAAATTATCATCCTACACAACAATCAGCAACATCATTTTGAAACTAGCAACAGAAAAGACCATTCACATAAATAGATTGGAGTAGAAGTCTTTCCTTCATGCATTTGCGAGTCAGAACGTTAGCACTAGTCTATATCTTAAAAAGAGATGGATAGCAAACTATATACCTGGAATTTATACTCTCATTGACCCAATGATCCAAAGCCTTTAGGTGGCCATACCTAACAAACAAGAGGTTAGAAAAAAAGCTTCAAGTAATTCGCAAAAATTTATCGGTGATAGGAGAAGTATAAAAATAAATACAAGGACTAGGTGAATGTTGCATCTTAGCCACCATGCAAGCAATCAATTTTAAAAGAAGATACGTCAAAGATAGTAATATAAATGTCCATGTTCATGAACAAGGCAAGCTGATCAAACGTTACCTTAATGTATTCAATACATACTCACTTTCTAAAACTCTTCACATGCAAGATTACCAATGAAGCCTTACTTATCAACAATCTACACCTTATTTTCAATTCTTTCAGCAATTAGGCAAAGTTCATTAAGCCAAAGGCATAAAATTACGAAAATCCAATATTTGTTTTTTCTGGAGACAAGTTAAGTCATATCCAAATCTTCTCAAGATAGACAAAGCTTAACTGCAAAGTTTCAAACCAAAGCTACCAAGACAGACCATGTATACTGCTTTAACATGAATCCAATGTTGTCCCTTTTAGACACTTTCATAGAAAAAAATTACATCACCGTTCACCTACAATAGTTCAAGTCTCAGCCAAAAATTCCCAAATCATTGAACTGGTTAATTGCACAAAAAACACAGCTGAAAACTATTTAGTTAAAGTCAGTTAACTATTGTCTCTCAATTTTAAGCATAAAAAATTTCTTGTCAAAAATCACTGAAAACTAGTTCTTATGATACACAAGAACTGAAAGTGAACTGAATCGAAGTATGGACAAAAAATAAATTTATGACGCCAAAGAAATTATATATTATATGGCTCTACGTTTAAATGTTCCCCACGTTACAAAACAAATAAAGACAGTGGAAATCAATATTGGGAACAAATTCAAAGGCAATTAGAATTGCATAACTTACTCTGAAAAACACTTTCCCTTGAACAAGACCATAAGGTATAGGCCCGAATTCCCGTGAATCTCTAGAAACATACAAGTTATCCCCCTGAATCCAAACATGTCCCTTTGGAACCTATCCATTTATACCCAAAGTAAAATAACAAAAAAATAATAATAATAATTCAAGAATCTAATCATATATATGTTTCTACAAAGTTCAAATCTTTTAACTTTTCCAATCAACCCAAAGCTCCGTTAGATTGTTACTTTTTCAACTTGCTTTTTGTTTCATAAAAATACAAACTTTAACTTCATTTTCCCAAAAGAAGTTCTTAATGAAAGAAATTAGAATTTTAATTTTTAATTATAAACACATCTTCGTAATATCTGCTATTAGTTGCAAAATCATAAGAAAAACAGAGAAAACAACAATCCGGAGCCTAAATTTTTCATTAAACTACAAATTCGACAACTGTAATTAAAACAAATATTATTCACTAATAAAAAATTAAAAAAAAATTAAAATTTTTCAAAATAAGGCGGACCCAATTAAAAGAGGAGAAGAGTACCACAAGAGAACGAAAACTGTGGTTTCTAGCAGAGAAAGTAACTTTATCACCTTCCATGGCTATAATGCGCTTAGTTATGCTCTTTTTAGGGTCGAGCGGCGATCGAACGAGAACCAAATCACCCGAACCCAGTTTGCCTATCCGGTGAGACAAGTGTTCGACTAGTACGACATCCCCGGTAGTGTTTAAGGTTGGGAGCATGCTAGGACCCAACACCTGCATATATTCAATTAATTCCCTAAAAAACAAAAAAAGGAAGAGGGAGAGTTTTGATAAAGTTACAAACATGGCTAGAGGACAGGAGGTAGGAGTCAGTGACGTGGAGTAAGCAGATGAATTTAACGACGATGGAGGCTCGAGCTATGGCTTCTTTTGCTATGTTCATCCATTGTCTCATCTTTTTTCTCTCTAATTTTGGGTTTCTTTAAGTTCTTCAAACTGAGAAATGGAAAACGCTGAATCGCAACGTAACTGCTGGCTGGTTTCAAGTCCCTATTAAGACTTAATTACACATGTGACCCAAAATTTTGTTTTTTGAACAGTCAAGGAAAAGATATTGATCAAATTGCGTTAGAGGTCTTTACACTCTGCTAAATTTTAAAATTGAGTCCTTATACTAAATTTTATATAAATTTAATTCTCAGCTTTGATTTGATAATTTTAATATAATTATTAATTTTATCAATTTTTTGTAATTAAAAATATTAATGTAATTATTAACTTGATAATATGGGCATTGTTGATTTTATTGATACGATAATTTAATGAATAAAATTAATTATTAAATTATATAAAATGATCTTTGTATTCGTAACAAATTTGAAATTAATTTTCTTTGTATAATTTCATAAATATTTGCTTTCGTATAAATTGAATTTAATAACGTTGATCTAATTACTACAAAATTATTTTTTTATTTTTTTAAAAAATTATATTTAGAATTTTTTTTACAATTTTTCCATATTTTTAAAGTATTAAATTTAATTTTTTTAATTTTTTTAAAATAATATATTTTGTTTTTTAAAAAAACTAATATTTCGAATTTTAATAGATTTTTTGGACTTCTAAAAAATATTAAATTACGTTGTAGAAATATTTTAATTTTTTTAAATTCATTTTTTGAACTTGTTGTTATTTTTTAAAATTTAACATTTTATTTACTCAAGATATTTAATTCTTTTTGCTTTTAATTTTTTTGTTTTTTTTTTGTAATTTTTTATATTTTTTAATATTTTAATAAATAAATAAATTATAAAGACTTGAACCTTTAGAATTTGTTCCATTTTAATATATTTGAGGAGAAAGAACATGTAATATCAGGTACAACAGAGCATAATGAATTACGAGAAAATTTTTTTTTCATTGAATAACATAAAAAATGTGCAGTTTTTTTTTTAATTTGCAAACTCTTTCCAAAATACAAAAAATAACAAAATATAAAAATTTATGAAAAAGCATAAAAATTAAAAAATATAGAAAATTTTATAAAAATTCCAAAAAATTAAAATTAAATATTTTATTTAAATAAAATGTTAAATTTTAAAAATTACAAAACTTTAAAAAATTAAATATTGGAAATTTTAAATTTAATATTTTTAAAAACCTAGAAAAAATAATTCAAAATATTGAATTTTTTTAGAAAAATAAAATCATATTTTATAAAATTCAAAAAATATGATTTTAAAAAATTAAAATATTTTAAAATATTAATTTTATATTTTAAAAATATGAAAATTCTAAAATATTAAAAGAATTAATTTTTATTTAAAAATTTTAATTTTTGATTTTTAAAAAAAGTATAATTTTTGTTATTATTTGAACCAATATTATCAAATTCAACTTGTACAAAGATGAGATTTTTATAACATTATATTAGAGAGATTAAAATTCAAGTTTCACGTGATTATACAATTATTTATATAATTTGACAATTGATTTTATCCAAATTGTCAAGCCATCAAAATTAACACCATCAGCAAAATCAATATCCACATCATCAAATTAATGGTTATGTCAATATTTTAAATACAAAAAAAATTGACGAAATTAGTGATTAAATTAAAATTATCAAATTAAAATAATATGATGACTAAATTTATATAAATTACAGTACAAAAATTAAATTTTGACAAAATATAAGGATTTTGGCAAAATTTAATCAAAGATGTTATTAGAATTGGTAAATCGAATGGCTTTAGGTGGATTCATGTTCAATTATTTTAAGTTTAAATCATTTAGGTTAAGGTAATTCAGATTATCTTTTAGATTTATGTAATATGTATTTTTTTCAAGTTTTTTTTTCTAGTTTGGGCAACTTTCAGTATAGATTATTTCATGCTTAAGCCATTCACAAATTCTAGTTTTCTCATGTTACAGTATTTGACTCTTTTTTATCAATATGATCAATTGGGATTGCATTGGCACCCCGTGACAGGTTTTAAAGTCAACAAAACACAATCCACAAGGTACAAATGTTTTAAGTAACAAACCATTCCTAAATAGTAAATGCAATCTAGCATAATTGACCATTCTACATGCATTTTCAAACCAAGTTACATAATGAATCAGTACACAATCTGGAAATGAAAAGTTATTAGCTTGGTATTGAAGACCTCAAAAACTTTATTTGTGCAACAATTTAATAGAGGAATGTTTTTTTTTCTCCAGACCAAACTATAATTGAATAAATTGATATGAGGAGCTCAAAGTCAAAGCTCAATACCTTGTATGAATATACAACCAGTCACAAGCAACCTGGATTCAGCAGTAGCTAACCAACTAATGTGCTAATAGAGCTTTTTCTATGGGTAGAGGCTTCAAGTTCGAGCATTCTCTGTTTAAGACTAAGGCTGTCGATTTCGAATAATGGTCCTCCGTTTGCAATTGCTTGTGTTGTGAAACATGTCTAACTAATCAATCCTTTCAAGATTAAACATCACCATATCTTGAAGAGCTAACCGGAAAGTTGCTATGAGGAAGACATTGTAGATTCTTAATTGCAAGATCAGCTTTCTCTTTTGCTAATTCTTGTGCTCTTTCAATTCCCCCACATTTCTTAACCAATTCAATTGCTTTCATCAAGGGAACAATCTCACAGAACTCGGATTCAATGATTTCTCTAAGTTTTGGTTCTTTTTCTAGAGCAAAAATTACCGGTGCTGTCAGGTTGCCTTGCGCTAGATCACTACCAGCTGGCTTCCCCAGCTGCTCTGCGGATTGTGTGAAATCCAATATGTCATCAACAACTTGGAATGATAGGCCAAGATTCTTGCCAAATTCATACATTTGCTCTGTAACACTACAATCAGCTTCACTGAAAATAGCAGCTCCTTTGGTACTTGCCGCAATTAAAGAAGCTGTTTTGTAGTAACTCTTTAGCAAATACTCCTCAAGTTCAAGGTCACAGTCAAACAAACTAGATGCTTGCTTAATCTCACCACTTGCAAAATCCTTAATAACCTGCAATATCACATATTATTCTATGCTTTAGACTAATTTAACTAAATTATCAATAGTTTGAAATGTTCTAGATAGCCGGAGCACACTTTCAATCCATAATTGTGGAACTTTTAAATCAAATATCATATACCCACATTTACATCCGAAAGAAAAGGTAAATGTTTGGTATATGTCATATGTACCTGGCTGATGAGTTTAATGACTTCAAGGTTTTCAAGATTTGCAAGGTACCATGAAGACTGAGCAAACATGAAGTCCCCAGCCAGTACTGCTACTCTCGTGCCGTACAATTGATGAACAGTTTCTTTACCTGCAGTTAAGTTAGAAGCAGTTTCAAATCAGGACTCTCCGGAGTGATGAAACTTGAAAGACATAAAGGATACCAAAGAAAGCTAACCTGAAAACTAAGAATTAATAAAGAATCTCATACTCAAAAAATACAGAAAAAGTATATGAACTTTATTTTATTCAGCACTTTTCCTTCTTAAACTTCTCTTTTCCCTATTTTCTGTTCTAGAAGCTGCACGGTACTTCTTGATAAAATAGATGATCCCACAGGGTTCAGTAATTAGGTAACAAGGTCTGAACTTTGAACTTCAACCACGATAGATTTAGCATACGGTAACTTTGCACAACAAGATGATCTCTTGACTAGAACAACTATGGTGGTGATTACTCCAGTTATGTAAAGAATGTAACTATTATATTGATCATGTGCAGTGAAGAACAATAACCCCAGACAATGCATTTCTCAATTAACTTGAATAGAATAACTAATATCTCTTCGGGTTTGAGATTGCTGCTACTTGAATTGGGAGACTTGAATAGAAGAACAACACATTAAATACATGAAAAAGAAGTTATATGTAGAGGCCAACCTCTTCGCGTGTCACTTTCATCTAATACATCATCATGTATCAAGCTTGCAGTATGAATCATCTCAATGATCTCAGCCAAACGCCGATGCTTTGTTGTAAGGTCCCTGGAAAGAAAGCAGTATAAAATAGACCTTAGTCTAACACTATAATTAACATGTGTTGTACTTCTTATAAAGAGTTCTGTACTTTACTTCATTCCAACTAACTCTGCTGTAGCTCTTGAAACTAGGAACACCAATGCTGGTCTCATTCTTTTACCACCAGCACCAAAGATCTGCTCAGCTGCAGACATCAGAACAGGGTTCTCTGAACCAACAATCTAGCAGAGCATCATCATCAGATATATAACTAACATTAAGGTCTTGAAGAAACCTAAAAATCGACTTTAGTATAAAAGATACAATCTTCCACTTAAATTAACCAAACCATACTTTATATACTCATAGGAGATTTAGCAACTGACTTATAACCCAGGTAACAATAAATCTACATAGAAAGCTAATTGATGAATCGGTTTGGGTCCCACAGTCTCCATAACTCGAGAGGAAAGAAGGAGAACTGGGAAAACAAACAAATTCCAGTTAGACAGTCAAGAAAATCAAGTTAACAAGTCACTACTATAAGCATGAACTACCTAATCCATCATTGACCAGCAGCATATGAACATTCACTACTCCATATATTGAAGTACCCCCAACCCTCACCATCCAACAGGTTCTTCCTGGGCCTCTGCAGTTAGGATTCTTCTATTTTAACTTTGTCATCAAGCTTCCGCACCATAATCATGAATAGAACTTACAATTGTTCCTCGGAAACTGTTTCAGATCATACTTAAGATTCTACATTTTTCCTTTTAGAAATATCATTTACTAAACACCAGTAAATCTTCCACTTCCAAAAAGAGAATCATGAATTAACCAGCATTCAATATTTGGACTCATAAGGTCGAAGCTATATACAGTTTGACTTAAAAGGAGGGACAAGGAAGTGACAGACAGATTATAGTTTAATTCATCTGGCATCAATCGATGAGCCAAAACATGCAAAACATTAAAAACAAAATACAGAACTTGGGCAAAAATAATATAAAACGTGCAGAAAACGTTATATATAATCACGGCACTATAAAGGACATAGCATTTAAAATCTTCAATGATCTTCACTGCCCCAACAACCAAACAGTTATTGTGACTGTG